CAGACACAAAATTGTTTTTCAAATACTTTCAATCTGTAGTTCATTGAATCCACAGATTTGGAACCCATGGATACACAGGCCTGACAAATGGAATATTATTTAGCCTTAAAATGGAAACCATTTATTCATTCATTCATTTTTTGGAGACAGTCTTGCTCTGTCACCCAGGCTGGAGTCCACTGGCACAAACATAGCTCACTGTAGCCTTGACTCCTGGGCTCAAGCAATCCTCCTGCCTCAGCCTCTCAAGTAGCTGGGATTACGGGTTCGAGCCACTGTGCCGAGCTAAAAAGGAAATCTGACACATGCTACAGCATGGATGAATCTTGAAAGCATTATGCTAAGTGAAAAAAGCTAGACAGAAAAGTAACGTATGATTTCATTTAAATGAGGTACCCAGAATAGGCAAATTCATAGACAGAAAGTAGAATAGAGACCACAAGGGACTGATGGGAGAGGGAAATGGAGAGTTATTGCTTCACAGGTACAGTTTCTATTTGGGATGATGGAAAAGTTCTAGATATAGATAGTAGTTGTGGTTACACAGCACTGCAAATGCACTTAATGTTACTGAAGTATACACTTAAAAATGGTTAAAATGGTAAATTTTATGTAATGAATATTTATCACAGTATAAAAAAAGATAAACATAATGAGTCATTTTCAAACACTGAAAGGTAACCAAATATAAATCTTCAAAGCCCTTTAAATTTCATCCCATATGAAGCCTGGTGGGGTAGACTATATTTTCCAAAGATCACAGCAAAAGTATATCCTATCCCACATGCTCTTCTGCATGTGGGACGACACTCTCCCAACAAGAAGTGGAGTCTATGCTTCCATCCTCTGGAATCTGGCTCAATCGGCTGACTACTTTAACCTATGGTATATGGCGGAAATGAAAGCTCTGCCAATTCCAGTACCAACCTTAACTGGCTGGCCAGCTTCTGGTTCTTGCCTCATGACCAGGCAGCCTTACAGAGGACCACAAGGGCCCTCTGCCAATTGCCCGACTGAGCTCCCAGTCAAGAGCCAGTACCAACTTGCCAGCCACATAAGTGAGGCAAATTGGAAGTGGATCCCCAGCTGCACTGTGTCGGAGTAGACAAGACATGAAACAGACTAGCTGTACGTAGTGAGCTCTGCCCCAACTGCAGATTCATAAGCAAATAACTGTTGCCACTAAATTTTGGGGTGGTTCATTACTAGACAGCCAGAACACCTTGTTAATGAGGGCAATTCAAACCGTTTCTGTTCCATATGCTTTCTGTTTTAGTTCCACATACACATAACAACGGCAGTATTACAAAAAAATTAAAACATTACTTTAAAACTTCAATACAAAATTCTAAGGTGAATCATGAAAACTTCCAGGTAGCATGTGCAATGGAGAAAGTATAACCTGAGTCAGAAATATTTAAGTTCAATTCCTCCTTAACTGATTAATGGCAAGGGAATTTGGTCAAACCAATCTATGCTTGCCTGATTTTCTTTCTGTGATTGTGAATAAAAACCAATATAAATGATATAAAATTTAGGCAGGGTGCAGTGGCTCACGCCTGTAATCCTAGCACTCTGGGAGGCCAAAGCGGGAGGATTGCTTGAGCTTAG